GTTCAAGGCCTGTCTGTGAAACTCACTGAGAAATAACTCACTGTGAAACTCACTGTCTCAAAGTAAAATTAAATACAAAAGGCTGGGACTGTAGCTCAGTGTCAGAATGCTTGCTTAGGCCCGAGTTTGAACCCCAGTACATTAAAAGGCCCCCCAAGCCATAAAAACCACACAAACAACAAACTTTAATCATTTGAATGCTTCTCTTTATGTGCTTTTTCAAGTGTTTTCACACATATTATTTTTCCCAATGCTAAGCCAGTTTCCCTACCCCAGCTCAATATGTTCCCATGAGAGTGGAGGTGGACTGGATTATTCAGGCTCTATTATCCTAGAGAGGTATTGTAGGTTGTCTCCCATGGTTTTACAGTTCTAGAATAGACATCCACATTAAGCAGTGATTAGTGTATTACTTATTCCCTGATTTACCCCCAGCTGATCTGTATAACCTGTTTCACTTCCTTATTAACAAAATTTCCATCACCTTAAAGAGAAACAAAAAGCAAAAGTTAATAGCCTCAAGAGTTATTTGGTGCATTTTGTTTTGTTCTGTGCTGTTTGAAAACAAAATAGTCACTTGGAATCTCTTCTTATAAGTAGTTAAGAGGTCACACCAAGAACTACAAATACTTAGAGATACACAGGTGCACAGTCCCCAGTGACTGTGTACGATGTGGTTTTGTTGCCTGTTTACCCAGGATGCCTAAGCTACCATTACCAATGATCCCTTTATATTTTTCTCCAACTTCACATTTTCTATCAAACCACAGTAAATAATAATACTTTCATTTTATGTACATCAAAGGCACATGTGGCAACAGCACTGGGAGTTGCAATTCCATCTAACTTCCTTGCAAAAAGCAAGGGCATTTAGCACTATCCCAAGCATGTCTATACCAAAGCACAAACACATCCATCTATCCTTCTGCTTCCCAGAATTAAAGAAGGGCAATGCCTGCACCCTTACTATATCTTGGAGAGTCTGTAGTTCCCCAGCCTCTGAACTCATCTATGGACAGAAGGCAGCCTAAACATAGTGACAACAAATTTTCATTAAGACTCCAAAAAGCTGAAGTGGATCAGAAGCAAACAGCTTTTGCAAGGCAGACTGTTGTCAAAGAATGTTCAATACTCAACTTTCAGAATCTTGGGATCACTAGAAAATGTTCTGTTGAACATTTTAATAACAAAGAAAGAGGGAGGACAACTTGCTTCATGAGATTTTTCAAGTGGTATCTATGTTACAAATTCCCACTGTAATGCAAAGCGTAACTAACATGACTGTGATTTCAGCATGCTTTCTTCCTTCCTTTCTGCAGCTCTGTTGAAAACTGAATAAAGGCTGATGGCCCACCTGCAGATCAGAACAAACACAAAATACAAACATTTTTCCTGGCCCTATATGTCTGTTTTCAGTTCAAATAATGATCTCTCAAATTTCTATAACCATTAACCTGGCTAATAATATGATCTAATATAACAGGACTCAATTTCATAAATATAAACTAAAAAAATAGAGGTCAAGACTGGAAAGAATGGTTTAAAGCACATAAGCAATGAGGCTTATAATCCTGTTGGCAGGTATCAGATAGGAATCAAACACCTGCTGCTGTTTAGATTGGCATTCATAATGAGCCTGCCCTCCCTCTTAGATTTCCACCCATCCCCTGAACTTCAGAAGGGCTTTATTTCAGGAAGGCAGAGTTCACATTGCACAACAAGTAACCTTTACCTGTGTTCTTGATGAGAAAAGTAATTTTTATAATATTCTCCTATTCAATATCACCTTCTGGACTTAGAACTTTACCTAAAAACACACTTTAAGCACTCAGGTACGTATGACACTGCAAAAAGAAAACCACAGTCCAATGCTGGCCCTGATGACAGTGGTTTCCAAACAAACAAAAACACCTGCCATCTTAGCTTTGTGTTTAACAAATATTGTTTTATGTTCTGGGGTGTTTTTTTCTGGTTTCTTTTTTTTTTTTTTTTTTGGAGAAAGAATGTCACTCTGTTCCCCAGACCGGCCTCTCTAACTCTTGGCAATTCTCCTGCCTCTGCCTCCTGAGTACTGGGAGTGCTGAGATTACAGGCATGCACACATGCCAGACTTGGCAATGCTATGTTTAATTCTTATGACACCTGAAGAATCTGTCTACACGCTCCCATTTTACAAATAATAAATCTTAGTCACAGAGAAGGTAGCAGAGCAGGAACTCTCCAACATCACACCATGATACCATATGCTTCCTCAACAGAAATGCCAACACACATATAAATCTACAGTGGTACTGTGAATGGAGAAAACAGTCATAAGAAAGCATGTGGATGGGTGAATCCAGAGCTTATGGATATACAGCCCATGATGACAGGAAGTTCACTGTGGAGGTAAGAAGGATATACCACCCAACCTTTGTTCATGTGCAAATTAGAAAAAACAATGTTTTTCAGCTCATGTGCTTCGTGAAATTTCTGGAGACTTTAAATGTAGAAGAAAAAAAGTAACAGGGCAACTGTGGAAGAGGACCAGATATTCTGGGCTTCATTTTGTCTATAGGCAAGCATGAGATAAACAGTGAAGACCTAACAAAATAATAGAAATCAGAAGAAATTTGAAAGAAGGCAGTATCCTGCAGAGGACCTCTGAATGAGATATGAAAGCTATAAACCATGAAAGCTATAAACCAAATGGATACAGGCAGTCACTTGCAGAGAATCCTGGAGCCCTGGTACACTCAGACAGATCCCAAATGCCAACGCCATACTGGAGGTACAAAGCAAAAACCAGGACACTGTGGAGCAAGCAGTCATAAAAAGTAAAGCAAACAACAGAAAATGTTATCACCAGGTACCATTGGGATATAACGAGAACTCTGACACAGTTGTGGGAAAGGCTCCTATGATCCAACACACAAGAATGTTTGCAGACAGAGAGAGCAGAGGCAAGAAAAGCTGGTGGTGGGTCCTTAGTCCCTCTAACCCTTAAGGCCAACAGGACCCAACCATTCATTGTACTTCTCCTAAACTCAACCCTCTCCATCATCTTCCTAGCTAACTGTTCATTTTATCTGAAGTGCATTCTTCCCAAGTCATTCTCAATGACAGGGAACTGAAAACTTGGAAAGAACAAAGGAATTTGTTTCCAGTTAGTTTCCCAACTGAGCAGCCTGTTCTCCCGTTCCTTAGGTTTTGCTTACACAACTTGTGTGGCACACCCCTTCCTTTCCTTTTCCTGCCTCATGAGAATGAAGTAGGGGGAAAAAATGTAATGGGTACAACTTAATAATCTCTTATTTTCTTCTTCTGAAAATTTAAGCCTTAAAAATTGTACACATTTTTAGAGCAGGGATTCTTAATCAGGGGTCGCTGTGTGTCTCATGGGACATTTAGCAATATCTAGAGATAGTGTTGGTTGTCACACAGGAGAGGGGGTACTAAGGAAAATGTCAACAAAACAAAGGTCAAAAGATCTTGTTTTAGAAGACATTATGAGGCAAGTTAGAATGGTTTCATATTGTAAAATATCCCAATATTCTTTCATAAATGCTACTCTTGTTTTTTTATAGACACAGAGTCAAAAGACACACTATATCTTAAAATTCCAAAATTATATGCCAGGGGGAGGGGATGAAGGGAGAGTTCAATATGGACACTCAGTCACGTGGGACTGCTTTTGGGGGTAGGACTGTTTGAGAAACTGTAATGGCAAACCAGCTCTGTAGCAGAGCAGAAGGGAGGCAGATCTGATTCCACACTGCAAACAACTCCCAACTAAACTGGAACCCTATTTTTTATCTTGTGTTCAGTCAAATGACAGCTCAACAGTGAGGTATCTTACCAAGAAACATCAACTTCAACCTTTTAAAAAGCTTTTTCTGTATTTAACAGTCTCTACAAATCAAAAGTCCCTTGATGTAAATATAATCCATCAAAGACTGGGCCTCTACTTTTGCCCCATCCATAAAAACAAAAACAAACAAACAACAAAAAAACAAAAAAAACAACAACAAAAAACCCCATAACACATGTGAATCCTTTTCATAGTTTGTTAGGAGGAAGAAAGATATGGAAATGGTGTTATGACTCAAAACCTGCCCCAAAGGAACAAAATCCATTCGGAGGGAATAAAGAGTGACTACAAACGCCCCTTACACTGCATAGCAAAAATTACAATCTAATGCAATGACTCTTACCAAAGGAATGTCTTCCTTTAAAATTAAGACATTTTACAACTTTCAAAGTAGCTTCAAGGGTGAAGTTCGAGGACATATTTTATCACGCAACTTTCCCTTGCACTCGCTCAAGCCACACACAGAAGTCTTCTCCAGTCAGCAGTGAGGGTGCTGAGCAAGAGCACACCATTGCATTAAGGTAGTCCTCACTCGGTCTCTGCTGGGTGAACACGTCAGGGTGACCCTGGGGGTGTCCCCTCCCCGACTTCCGACCCAACGAACATTCTGGGGGGAAGAGTCCCACAGCTCTTGAGGCCCGTGGACTCCAACCGGTAAGTCTACTCCGGAAATCGAGTGACCGACCTATTCTAGATGGAGAGCCTTATATACAAACTCAAAGAGTGGGGAAGAGGAAAAAAAAGAAAAGAAAACAGGATTTAGCTGCGCCCTCTTCTAGCAAGTAGGGGCATACTCTGGGACACTCTTGAGCGCAACAATGGGAAGCCAGTTCCAGTTCCACTGCTGGCCGCAAAACCCGGCTCACGCTACAATGATGATGCCTTACCTCCTTCAGATATTCTCAGCTGTGCACACCCAAAGTGCACACAAGTGTGCAGTCGCGGAGAGTGTTCCTAAAAGTACACATACAATTGCGCACATATAGATGCACAGATGCGGGCATCTCTCCCAGGTGTGCACAATTACGCACACCCAGGTGCGCAGTCGCTGGGAACGCACCCCGAGCCACGCGAGGCGGGTCATGCCAGGGAACCCCGAAGCCCTAGCCACAATCCCCGCGCCGCACCCGATCGCGCGTGCCCAGCTCACCTCTTCCAGAAACTTGGTGAGGTCGTACACCTTGTGATGCAGAATCACCCAGGTGCTCCTGCTATCTTTGTGCTTCTGAATCTCTTCCAGGGTGTAGTACTTCACAGCGCTGTCCGTCTGCCCGGCCATCTCGGGATCGCTGCGAGCCTCCCAGGCCCTGCAACACAGCCGCGCGCGGGGTGGAGCGCAAAGCAAGTCTAAGCAGCCTCCGCTCGGGCCATTCCCGGCCCCTCCGGGCTGCAGGCGGGGGACAGCGCACGGGGCGGGGACCGCACGGCCTCCGGGTATTGGCCAGCACGTTGCTCCCGCCCTCGACCAACGCTCTCCGCCAGTCCAATCGCGCTCCGAGCCCAGCACGTGAGTGTTGATTGGCTCCATGAGACGCTCTTAACCATCATCCGCTGCCGGAGCGGAGGGAGGGGCGGGGCGGGGCGGGGCTTCGCTGAGTCTGCGCAGAAGGAGGCGGGGGGGGGGGGGCGGGTAGGGCGAGGGAGGTCTGACCTAACCCTGAGAAGGAAGCCGACCTGGCAAGCTGCATCCCACACTCTAGCACAGTTCTCAGGCTCCGAGCTTAGCGCAAGGCCTCCGCAAGTTTCCTAATCAGATCAAATCAGCCGTAGGTCCCAATGCTCACTTGTAACAAAAATAGCAGTGGTCCAAGTCCACGGAGTGGCTATTCATGTGGCGAAACTGTTAGCGAACACAGAAGATACGAAAGAGAGCCTCATGTACACTTAAAACCAAGCATCACTGTCAAAGGCTTGCAAATCAAATGTGTGGCGCCCAAGTAGCAAACATTCATTTTGCTTCACCTCTACAGAGGGTGCAGCAAAACAAAAGCTCCAAGAAAACTAATTTCAACATTTTAGAAGCATCTGATTATTTCCGTAACTCTAAAAAACTTATATGCAGTGAAACTCTGACATGCCAAAGGCTTGCACTCTTTTCTCCAGAGTCCTAAATGATGAGCACGTGGAAGAGTGCAGAATTGTAGCTCCCCAGCCTGGCCCTCCCCTTTCCTCTTAACAGGAGATAAAATAACACATATTAAATATAAATGCCTGAGAGAAGAAGGGGAAGAAAAATGAAAAAAAAGAACAGTGTCTTTTATTTTAAAGCCTGTGGTAATTTATTTAGGCCTTCTCAACAATGGTAGTTAACTCCATAAAAGAACATAAGGCTTGCCCATACCAGTGATTTTCCCCCAGGGACTCAGGAAAGAGCTGCACATAGTGGATGCTTGGAGATAAACTCCTTCCTGTTGCTTACCTGTCCTTAGGAAGGCCTGCTCATTGAGAAGAAAACATTACTGAAAGTATTCCAAAAGATTTATAATTTTTTCTCTCTAACAAGCAAATATTTCCAAGTGTAATATTACTCAGAAATATTTCTAAGATAAATTATTTGCATTAGGATACTAATCAGTTTACAGATACTATCCACATACAACATGTGAATATTTAATTTTATGCCAACAAGCTAAAATATAATGTAGGAATAATTTCCAAGAAAGTTCTGTGGGGTGTTTTTAACCTTTAACTTTGAAATAAGTATAGGTTCACAGGAAGTTGTAAATATGGAACAGAAAGGTACTGTGTTCGTCCAGTTTCCCCCAATGGCTTCATATTAATGTAACTATAGTGCAGTGACACAGCAAGGCAGCACACACCTGTAATCCCAGCACTCAGGAGGCAGAGACAGGAGGATACCACATGTAAAGCCAGCCTGGGCTGCATAGCAAGTTCCAGGCCTATCTGAGCTACATAGTGAGACTTTGTTGAAAAAAAAGAAATAAAATTTTAAACTTCATATCAGTGCAACGTAGTTTCATTTAGTTTTAGGATTTACAGTTGCATGTGTGAATTCCATTTTCCCAGGACAGAACTGCTCCATCACAACTCTAGATGTACTGTCTTCTTTAATTACAGTCACATCCTTCCTCATGTCATCCCTAACTTCTGATATTGAGGAATCTGTTTTGTTTCTGTTTTATTTTGTCATTTCAAGAAATTATGTTTCATACTGTTCTAACAACTTGCCAGATCACTTTGAAGGACAGACTGAAGCCAAGACAATGATGGGTCAGTGATAGGTTTTGCCAGTGCTACTTAGTTTTGCAAGATTTCTCCCTCTATTTAAACCAAAACTTCATGTCAGAACCCCAAAGATGAAATAGGGCAGGGAGAGGTCACTGGATCTCTTTATTCCTTTTCCAATGTGACCTCATTGAGTGAATCTCCTTCTTCTGCTTTTCCCTATTGCTTGTCTGTTTCATTGGCTTAGGAACAGGTAGCTGAGCCTGGTTTGATAGGGCTACCACAACCCAGCCCTGACCCTGACAGCTCCTGTAGTATTACATGGAATTGGTATACCACATTATCACAGCTTGTTTAAGAATTCATTGGTTGAGGGGCATTTTGGTTATTTTCAGTATTTGGCTAACTAGAGAAAACTTGCTATAAACAATCATATGCAAGTTTTGTGTGGACATAACTATTTCTCAAGGATAAATGTCAAGGAATGTGGATGTTAGGAAACAGAAGAAACTGTTTTATTTTGTCAGAAACTGCCAAGTCCTTTTCCACAGTGCTGTACCACTTACATTCCTACAGCAACACCTGAGAGGTCTAGTCTCTCAATGTCCTCAGCAGGTCTGTTATTGTTGCTATTTATTTGATTGTGTTCTAATGGATATAGGGAGGGGTGGTCTTAATCTAAACCATCTTTCCTTGTACTTATTTGCCACTTGTATTTCCTTTTCATTGTACTGTCTCTTCAAGTCTTTTACCCATTTTAAACTGAATTCTTTGCTTTTTGTAACGTTGATTTTAAGAAATTTTTTAGATGTACTATAGATGAGTCCATTCTCAGAAGTGTAGTTTGACAACATTTTTCGCCGTTTATAGCTTGTCTTATCATCATCTTAGTCTTTGTCAAAGCAAAAGCTTTTTATTTTCAAGATCTGTTTGTGGTTTGTTTGTTTGTTTTGTTTTCTAAGACAGTGTCTTACTACATGGCCCAGACTAGCTTGGAATTCATTCTGTAACTTAGGCTGGCTTTGAACTGCTGACTCAAGAGATCTTTCTGTCCCAGCTCAAGAGATCTTTCTGTCTCAGATTCCTGAGTATGGTGGACAACGGCGCTCTCCACTATGCCCCATTTGAAATATATTCTAAGCTCATTTTTCATTGTGGAAGGCATGAGATCTGAAATTCATTTTTCTTATATCAAATTGCTCAAATATTATTTGTTGAAAAGACTTGAAATGAAAGGAAGGAAAGATCCCCTCTGCATACTCCCACATTAGGGAGTGTGGATTATTTGGCCTTACCTATGAACCAAATAAATACAGGAGCTGATTGATTAGCAAGAGAAAAGCACAGCAGTAGTGTTAATTTTGCCTGCACATGGTAATCATCACAACAAAATAAAGACAGGAAATTACCAAACTCTGGTGCCCATTATACTTTTTAGATAAAGAGCCATAAATTTGTGAAGGAATGACAGGACAAATGAACCTCTGAACTGTGGTAGTCAATTCAAGGTATGTCATTAGGTGATAAATGGAGAGGGACCTAAGGCTAGTGGAAGACAAGGTTCAAGTAAAGAATTTATCTATATAGCTTTATTGCCACCTCCCTCAATCTTTGGTAATCAAGGCTAATTTTAGCTCTAAGTGTGAGAAGGACAAGTCTTACTAAAGAGTTTTTATGGCTTGCTGTGTGTAGGAAAATGCCAGAGCAGATGGACTTTCTGAAGTTACAGTTCCTTAAATTATTTCAGTTTGAAAATACCAAGCAGACAGCCTTTCTAAAATTACAATTGCTTAAATTATTTCAGTTTGAAATCATCGGCATGTCAGTTCCAGATAGATAGGGATGACAACTCCCTTAACTCCTCCACTATCCTGTCTCTATTAAATCATCTTGTTTGTTTATAAAACAGGATTCCTATATTAAACTTCACTCACCCAGGGCTCAGGGACCATCAAGGAAGAGAGGCCAGAAAGATTCTAAGAGCCAGGGAGGAGGTGCATGACCATATGGAAACAGAGTCCTACAAGCTCCTTAGACCCTGCTCATACAATTCTATCCCAATGGTGTCAGCATACACAAGTCCCATGCAAACTCAGGCAGACAAAAACCCAGCATAGTACTGGGGAAATGAACAGCATACCCCCAATCTTAGCTGAAGAAATATTGGCAACTGATTACTGCTAGGTGAGGAAGAACTGATCTTCCTAAAACAAGGGACTCTACATAGATCTACTAGATCTCAGTGGATGGACTTGCACTGGAGAACGTCTGAGGACACTGACTTGACACAGTGGACCTTAACACAGATGACCGAGTATATGGGTTCCAGTGGTGGGGCTATTGGGAGGGTACCAGTGAGGACAGAGGTTATAAAGTTGATTAAGATTGATTGAGATATTCTGCATGAAATACAAAAAAAATCAATAAAAACAAATTAAAAAAAAAGAATCATCCCTTCTGATGATTTCCATACTGAACACACTAATATATATTACCATGAGCAGTGAATAAAGATTCTTTCCTCCTAAAAATAAATTAGTTAATTGTACCTTCATGGAACAAATTCTGAATTCTATATTCCTTCCATTAATCCATGTATCTATGCCTCCACCAGTATAAATAGTCTTGATTGCAGTAACTATGTAGTAAGTCCTGAGATCAGTTAGAGTGATTGATTCTTCTGCTTTATTCTTTTTTCTCCAAAATTGTTTTAGTTGTCTAGTTCATTTACCTTGCCATATACATTTTAGAATAATGCCATCTATGTCTGTAAAAATACTGCTGAGATTTTGATAAGAATTTCATTAAACCTCTGTGCCAAATAAGGAATTGCTACATTTACTGTATTGTCTCTCCCAATGGAGGAATGCAGAGTATTTGCACAGTGATTTTCTTAGCTATTTTTCAGCAGCAGTTTCAAATCCTATATATGTTTCATTGAGTCTACATACTGATTATAAAGTATATTGATTATGAATTATATTGTATTTTCTTATTTATAGTCATATGTTCATTGGTAATATATGAGTATACAATGAATCTTTGTGTTTTACTTGCATCCTGCCCTTTGCTGAACTCAGCTTCTTTGCATATATCTTGAGATTTCCTTGTAGACCATGCCTCAAATTGCCTTTTTTTTTGTCCCTTATCACATTGGCTAGAATCTCCCACACCATGTTGAAAAGCAGTTGTGTTAGCTACT